TCCACCGAAGGTAACACTGACGGTGTGCACATGCGCCCCCGCCACCCCGTTCGGCACACCGCTAACACGTTTCGTATTCCATAGGCAGCCCCCCAGTGGCACCGTCCGCATGCGTCCCCGCCACCCAGTTCGGCACAACCTTTCGGACACGAGGGCTCCCGTGACACCATCCGCATGCGTCCCTGCCACCTATTTCGTTCACCCCTCACACGCTCCGTGGCCCCACAGGGAGCTCCACCGACGGTCCAGGTTGAACCCGCCGCATGCGTCCCCGCAACGCATGTCGGCACACCCCTCACACGCGTTTCGTGGCCCGATAGGGAGCTCCACCGAGGGTCCCAGTCACACCGTCGTCGTGCGTCTCCGCCACACAGTTCGGCACACCCCTCAAACGTTTCGTAGCCCCACAGGTAGTTCCGCCGAAAGTCCAAGTGGCACCGTCCGCATGCGTCACCGCCACGCATTTCGGCACACACTTTCGCACGTTAAGTGGCCCCATCGGGATCTCCACCGAAGTCTCCAGTGGCACCGTCCGCATGCGTCACCGCCACCCAGTTCGGCACCCCCCTCAAACGTTCGTGGCGCCATCGAGAACTCCACCGAAGGCCCCAGTGGCGGCGTCCACATGCGTCCCCGCCACCCAGTTCGGCACACCCTTAACACGTTCCGTTGCCCCATAGGGAGCTCCGCCGAAGGTCCCAGTGGCGGCGTCCACATGCGTCCCCGACACCCAGTTCGGCACACCCTTAACACGTTCCATTGCCCCATAGGGAGCTCCGCCGAAGGTCCCAGTGGCACCGCTCGCATGCATCCCTGGCACCCATCTCGGCACACCTCCGGCGCGCTTCGTGGCCCCATAAGGGGGCTCCACCGAAGATGATGCTCACGATTGCGCTACTCACAGCTGCATATGGTCGGGGTCTTCGCCAGGCTACAGTCGGGCCGCTGAAAGAAGGAACACTAAATAAGTAGCGAAGCCCCTTCTTGGCCCTGTAAGCGCCTCCGTGCCCCAGGAGGGCAAGCAGAACAGCACCTGGAGGAACTTTAGGAGCATCGAGCCCCTTCCGAATCCACACTGTTCCTTATTTCAGCGTCGTGGCTGTAGCTTCGCAACGCAACGCAACTCCCGATCGGCCCGAAGGCCGTGCCAATCTAGAACTCGGGGGGAAACCTTGGCCCGTGCCCCCGGCACCCGGGCACATGTGCGAACGTCCGACGAGGACTGATTCGCGGGCAGGCAGGGGCGGGGAGCGGGGGAGGAGAGGGCGGAGGGAGAAGGGCAGAATGGAAGGAAACTCTCAGATCTCGCTCACGGGGACCTTCACGAGGAACTCCGCGCTGTGGCTTCGAGGGGGGGAGAATATATGCGGCTGCGGTCGGCGGCGGCGGCCCCACGGCGGCCGGAGGGGCCCACGGGCCCCGTCGGCGGGCGGCGACGGGGCGGCGACGGCGGCCACGGTGTCGGCCAGAGCGGGCCGCAGGCCCAATTCCTTTAAATTATCCCAGTGCGACCCTACCTAGGAGTTGGAGCATTTAGGAGAGCAACATCCACATCTACACCGACCCTCTACAGTTACATCTACGCCTGCATCTACATCTACATCAACGTGCTATGATATGCTGTGCTGTGCTATGATGCGCTGTGCTATGCTAAGCAATGCTATGTTATGATATGCTATGATATGCCGCGCTATGCTATGATATGCTATGCTATAATGAGCTATGTTATAATGTGATGTGTTAGGTTATGATATGCTGAGTTATGCTATGCTGTGCTATGTCATGCTATGCTATGCTTGGCGATGCTATGCTATGCTATGCTGTGCTAATGCTGCGCTACGCTGCGCTAAGCTAAGGTAAGCTATGCTAAGCTGAGCTAAGCTAGGCTAGGCTAGGTTAAGCTAAGCTATGCTAAGCCAAGCCAACCCAAGCCAAGCTAAGCTAAGCAACGCTAAGATGATATAAGCTAAGCTAAGCTAAGCTAAGCTAGGCTAGGCAAAGCTAAGTTAAGCTAACCTCAGCTAAGATGAGATAAGCTAAGCTAAGCCTAGCTAAGCTAAGCTGGGTGAACCCAGGGGGCGCAGACGGGGGAACCGCGGGGCGGGGACTGGGGGAACCGCCCGGGGCGCCTTAGCACTGCCCGGCCCCTTTAAGCTAAGAGAGTAAGAACCCTCTAGGCAGAGCCTAGGTAGGGAAAAAGCTGTACTCCAGATTTCGTAATTATCCCAGTGCGACCCTACCTAGGAGTTGGAGCCCCTAGGAAAGCAGCATTAGTAGTAACAGTAAAGCTAAGCTAAAGCTAAGCTAAAGCTAAGCTAAAGCTAAGCTAAGGCTAAGCCAACACTAAGCTAAAGCTAAACGAAAGCTAAACTGAAGCTAAGCTAAAGCTAAATATAAGATAAAGCTAAGTTAAAGCTAAGCTACAGCTAAGCTAAAGCTAAGCTAAAGCTAAACTGAAGCTAAGCGGAAGCTAAACTAAAGCTAAGCTAAGGCTAAGCTAAAGCTAAGCTGAAGCTAAGCTAAAGCTAAGCTGAAGATAAGCTAAAGCTAACCTAAAGCTAAGCTAAAGCTAAGCTAAAGCTAACCTAAAGCTAAGCTAAAGCTAAGCCAAAGCTAAGCTAAAGCTAAGCTAAAGCTAAGCTACAGCTAAGCTAACACTAAGCTAAAGCTAAGCTAACACTAAGCTGAAGCTAAGCTAAAGCTAAGCTAAAGCTAAGCTAAAGCTAAGCTAACACTAAGCTGAAGCTAAGCTAACGCTAAGCTAAAGCTCAGCTAAAGCTAAGCTAAAGCTGAGCTACGGCTAAGCTAACAATAAGCTAAAGCTAAGCTAAAGCTAAGCTGAATATAAGCTGAAGCTAAGCTGAAGCTAAGCTGAAGCTAAGCTAAAGCTAAGCTAAAGCTAAGCTAAGGCTACGCCAAAGCTAAGCTAAATCTAAGCTAACACTAAGCTGAAGCTAAGCTAAAGCTAAGCTAAAGCTAAGCTAACACTAAGCTAAAACTAAGCTAAAGCTAAGCTAAAGCTAAGCTAAAGCTAGAGCTAAAGCTAGAGCTAAGCTAAAGCTAAAGCTAAGGCTAAAGCTCCCAGGGGACTGGGGGAACCGCGGGGCGGGGACTGGGGGAACCGCCCGGGGCGTGTAGCACTGCCCGGCCCCTTTAAGCTAGAGAGTAAGAACCCTTCTAGGCAGAGCCTAGGTAGGGAATAAAAGGGAGGGGGTCTGGACCCTCCAAGACAAGCCATTTCAGACCCCCCCCGTGGGAGAACCCTCCAAAACATCGTCCCCAGACCCCCCCAGGCCCTCCAAGATAGCCTGGAAGAGAGACCCCCCCGAAATGAGACCCCCCTCCCTTTATTACGAAATCTGGAGTAAGAACCCTTGGCTTGGCATCGCTCGGACGTGTGCATTTTTCCCTCGGCGAGGACCATCGAGGAGCAGCCTTGATCATTTGGCGAAAAACCGCGCACGAAACCGGAGAAAGCACAGGGAATGGACGTCCGAGCCATGGCCAGCTGAAAAGATGTAAGAACCCCTGGGCGGAAGCTCTGTTTTGGGAAAGCGGCATGAGCATGGGCAGTCCCCCGCCCGCCGCGGGAAGCGCAAGCGTCCAGGCGAGGAGGAGGAGGAGGAGGAGGAGGAGGAGGGGAGGGAGGGAGGGAGGGAGGGAGGGAGGGAGGGAGGAGGAGGAGGAGGAAGAGGAGGAGGAGGGGGACAAGGAGGAGGGTTGGACCCCCTTCTGGGAGCGCGCAGGGGCCGGCGCGGATCCGAGAAAACTGCGCGGAGCGTCGGCAGTTTGTCTCTAGAATCTCAAGCCATTCTAGAATGAGTTCTCGGTCTCGCGTGCTCCTCCTACTCCTCCTCCTCCTCCTCTCCTCCTCCTCCTCCTCCCTCTACCTCCCTCTCCTCCTCCTCCTCCTCCTCCTCCTCCTCCTCCTCCTCCTCCTCCTCCTCCTCCCTGTCCTGTCAGCAAGGCAAGTGCCAGGCGGGCAGGAGGAGAGAGGGGTGAGTTTGTGTGTGGGTGGGTGGGTGCGGGTTCCCAGCGTGTTTGAAAGGATCCTCTGCCTCGTCCTCCCCGCTTCTCTTCACAAAGATCTCGCCTGCTGTTCCTTCTGGCGGGGATTTGCCTGGGGACAGGAACTGGTTTCACACGCCGACGAGTTTTACGGAGCCAGCGGCGTTCGTTTACTACCTTATCTACGTTCTCCTCTCTTTCTTCGTCCACACCGAGCTCCACTACTGAGAGTTCAAGCACCACACTGTCGTCCAGAACTGTTAGTTCAGGCACGTATACTTCTACCACAACCTTATCTTCAACAAGTGCAAGTTCGACAGCCACGTCGAGTTCAACCACGAGGACCTCTACTGCGAGCTCAAGTGCAACATCGTCATCACAAACCTTGAGTTCGTCCACGTCTAGTTCAAGCACGACCTTAACCTCGACCAGCGTATCTTCTACTTCAACCACATTGAGTTTAACTTCCACCTTGACGTCGACCAGTAGTGTGTCTACTACCTCTTTGAGTTCGGGAACAAGCTTGACTTCAGTGACGGAGAGTTCCACCACCACCACCAGTTCCAGCACAAGTTCCACCACTCTATCTTCGGTTACTGAAACGTCTTCAAGCACCTCGAGTTCTTCCTCAACCACCACTGTGACGTCTTCGACGGGGACTTCAAGCACGACTTTTACCGAGACGTCGACTCTTTCTACAGCCACGTTCACCACAACCTCAGCTACCTCGACCACAGACAGCTCAACCAGTCAGTCGTCCACCACGACAGCCACGAAAACATCGACCCGGAGCTCTACCACTGGGACGTCCACCACGTCTGCGACTTACACAGACACGTCCACCGTGACGAGGAGTGTAACAGAGACGTCCACCACGACTGCCACTGAGACGACGTCGATGACATCCAGCACCACAATATCGACCTCCGTGACGTCCACAACAACAATCTCTACAACCGAGTCGTCATCATTAACCAGCTCCACCACGTTTCACTCAACGACCGCCTCCAGCCTAACGGCATCAAGCAGGACAGAGACGGTAACCACTGGTACGGTGACGACTGGCACGATCACCACTGGTACGGTGACCACTGGCACGATCACCACCACCACAGCGACTCCTGAGCGTTTTTCCTTAGTGAGGGCTGATGTCGCGATTTCTTTCACAACCCCCCTAAACGATACATCGGTAGAAGTTGTTGCGCGTGCAGCGATTGCAACCTTCTTGAACATCTCGCAGTCGAAGGTCACGATCAACTCCGTCGTCGTCAGAAACACGTCAAGGCGCTTGTCGCTTCAAAGAAGATTGGCCAGTCAAGTGTGGGACATCGACTACACAGTTACAGTTGAGGGTACAAACACTGAGGAGACCGAAGAGACATTGTTGCGTCTGTATGACAACACTTCGCAGTTCCATGAGTTTGTCGAGGACGAGCTCGATGAGAAAGGGCTTCCTAGTGACGTCGTGGAGTGGGTGGAATCGTCGGTGCCCGTGGTCGAACTTTGGATATATACTACAGCGACGTTGACTTCCACGTCGACGCTGACCTCCACGACGGTGACCTCCACGTCGGTGACCTCCACGTTAACGTCCACAACTTGCTGTGTATGTGCTCTCCCTATGTTCGCTGGTATTCCTGTAGGGATAAGTGGACCCGGCTTCACTTCATCATCGGGGTTGGATACCATAGTACGCATCGAATGCTCGGGCATCAAATATGGAGACGTTTGCGAGCCTGTTTGTGGTGTGGGGCATGTTGCAAATGGGACAATGGTCTGCAGCGACGAGACGGAGATGTTCGAGGGACGTGCTGACTGCGTGCCTGACACCTGTGTTGGCAGTCCAGCATTGCCTACCGGCTATGAGACAGAGGATGCAAATTGCGTAAACATGCTTTACCCCGAGACATGCCGCATAACCTGTTCCGAGGGCTACGAGAACCTACTTGGGACCTCCATCGAAGTTCAGTGTACAGCCGACACGTCTTACAATCTGTCAAAGGGTGCCGGGTCTTGCACAGAATCGCGTTGCTACGCCTTCTCGCCGCCTGGCATGTTGAACGTGGCCGACAGCTCGTCTTGCATCGGTATTGCGAGCCGTGAGTCGTGCTCGCCAGTTTGCGATGACGGTTACCAGCTGGTCGAGCCAATCAATTGCACTTTGGGCTCGTTTGAGATGATTCCGGTGGTCTGCGCCTCCGATGCGGACGCGGAGGCGCTCGAACGTGTCGAGGTCTTGCTGGTGGAGATTGCGTTCATTGCCGGTCAGGCGAATTCGGGCATTACGGCGGAGTGGGCTGGCGGTGGGACCAGGGTTCCGATGCAAAGCGCGCTCGGCGACGTTTTAGGCTTGTACCCAGAGCAGGTTTATTTTCTGGAGATGAAGGACTCTGCTCTCATCTCCCCTCCTTCTGCCCCTATCCCAGTCCCGCCTACCCCTCTATTCCTTCTGCACTTCTGCCCCTTCGAGCAGGACCTGAACTCAGACTCAGCGTCTGGTATTCCAGCGAGGCGTTTAACAGAAGAGGAGGTTGGAGGGTACCAAAATCACACCGACACCGATCCTGGCCAGACTTCTTCTTGGCAATGGGATGGACGTAAGCGTCCCCCTGGCTAGGTCAGCAGGGTGCATCCACCGATCCTGCGACCTGTACTGTGCCTCGCTAGGATCGTGGTGTGTGTAGGTTGCGTCCTCATCGCAGGGCCTGTTCGTCAAGCTGTGGCTCCAGCTGTACCCGATTAACGACCGCACGGCGGTCGAGGGTGGCCTGGCCGACCTCGGGACGAGCAATCTCACCAGCCGTTTCGTCAGCTTCCTGCAGGAAGCTTGGGAGAGGAGGGGGAGGAGGCGAAGAGGGAGCACGGAGTGGGAGAAGGGAGCGGGGAGGAGGAAGGAGGAGGAGAGAGGAAGAGGAGGAGGGTGGGGGGGAATCGGAGGAAGAGGAGGAGGAGGAGGAGGAGAGGAAGAGGAGGAGGGTGGGGGGGAATCGGAGGAAGAGGAGGAGGAGGAGGTGGAGGAGGAGGAGGAGGAGGAGGAGCGAGTCAGCGAGCGAGCGACCACATTGCACCCAGTGCGACATCTTCAATCCGCTGCCCACTGAACACTGACCACATGACCACCCTATGGTGTCAGTGGTGTGCGGTATTTGCACTTGCGAAGCCGCCAGTAGTCGGCCGTCTGTCGCATCATCTTAGCATGCTCTGCGGCCTCCTGGAGTTCATTGTCACTGTATCTCTATAGTGGTCCGTCTACCATCAGCGGTTAGCATTGCTTGGACGAGTGTTGCAAGTGATTTACCACCCTTTCCCGCAAGTGACACTATGTTCCGCATGCCAGGCGGCAGTGCCTATGACTTGCTGCCAGGTGTGCCGCACTTGTCCGTTGCAACGGTGCACATGGACCGCTAGCGCTCTCGGCGTATCTGGGATACGGCACGCACCACGCGGGCACTAGGGATTATGGATTCCGGACGGCATGTCGTTGCCAGCAGCCGAAAGATCACAAACCACAATGCCTGCAGCCGGAAGGAAACTGCGGCTGCATTGCGTCCGCCCCACAACCTCGTTCCACCACTCCGTGCGGGGGTGGGGGGGCACGGGGGGGAGGAGGGAGGGGGAGGAGAGAGGAAGGGGATGAGGGAGGGGAGGAGTGGGAGTCGGAAGAGGAGGAGGAGGAGGAGGAGGAAAAGGAGGAGGAGGGGGAGGAAGAAGAGGAGGAGAAGGAGGCGGACGAACTTGTGACTGACACCTCTGATGTCCTGATGGCCGATCATAGTATCTGGAGGCGGACAGCGGAGGTGAACACGGGAGGGAGGTGAAGGGGAGGGAGGCGGGGGGAGGAGGATCGGGGTGCGAGGGCCGAGGTTTTAGACGTGTTGGGTGGCACTTTGATTTTCATAAGGGTTTCTTGTAGAAGCCCCTTGGAACGGCAGGAGACTTTTTGGACCTGGATGAGGATTAGGAGGAAGGGACAACGAGGAGGTGGAGGGGACGGATGGGAGAGGAGGAGGAGGATGAGGAAGAGGAGGAGGAAGAGAGGAGTGGAAGGATGTGGAGGTGAAGGAGGCAGACGAACTTGTGACTGACACCTCTCATGTCCTGATGGCAGATTATAGCATCTGGAGGCGGACGAAGGAGGTGAACACGGGAGGGAGGTGAAGGGGAGGGGGGCGGGGGGAGGAAGAGGATATGGGTGTGAGGGTTGAGGTTTTGGACGTGTTGGGTGGATCTTTGATACTCATTGGGGTTTCTTGTAGAAGCCCCCTGGGACGGCAGGAGACTTTGGAGACCTGGATGATGACTAGGAGGAAGGGACAGCGAGGAGGTGGAGGGGACGGGTGGGAGAGGAGAGGGATGATGAGGAAGAGGAGGAGGAAGAGGAGGGGAAGGATTCGCAGGCGAAGGAGGAGGAGGAGGAGCAGGAGCAAGAGAGGCAGCAGGAGCAAGAGCCGAAGAACGCCGAAGCAGGAGAAAGCAGGAACCAGGAGCGGGAGCAAGAGGGGCAGAGGCAGGCGGAGGAGGAGGAGGATCTTCGCTGGGGTGACGGGGGGTCCCGGCCTCGGGCTGCGTGCCTGCAGCTGCCCCCTCACCGAGGTCGGCGGCCTGAGGACCAGGCTCCCCATCGTCGCGAGAGCGTCACAGCTCCGTGACGCTCCCACGACGATGGGGAAGGCCGCCTGGCTCACTTTCCACGACGCTGGCGGACGGGGGAGGAGGTGGTGGTGGCCCACGCGGAGCCAAGATGTGCTGGAAGCCAGTTCTCACGACGATGGGGAAGGCCCACCAAGACGATTCCACGCTTCGTGTGGCCGGCCATCGGCCGTCCCTGGGCACCGCGCCAGTGGCCCCAGCTCGGGCCGCACGCGGCAGCTCGGGCCTCGGGCGACTGCGCGGTGGCTGCGGCGTGCGCGGCGGCGCTACGAGCCAGGGGCGCCCAGCACAAGAGCCGGCCTGACGAGCGCGGCCGGGCCGGGCTCCTGCTCAGCACACTGGATGCTCGGTAGGCCTTGGCAAACCACCGCGGCAGCGGCGACGACGACGACCATGATGATGATGATGATGATGAGGATGCTGACCATGATGATGATGATGATGATGATGATGATGAGGATGAGGATGAGGATGAGGATGAGGATGAGGATGAGGATGAGGATGAGGATGAGGATGAGGATGATGATGAGGATGAGGATGAGGATGAGGATGAGGATGATGATGAGGAGGATGAGGATGAGGATGAGGATGAGGATGAGGATGAGGATGATGGTGATGGTGATGGTGATGGTGATGGTGATGGTGATGGTGATGGTGACGATGATGGTGATGGTGATGGTGATGGTGAAGAGTGGTGGTGGTGATGGTCATGGTAATGGTCATTGTGATGGTGATGCTGATGATGATGGTTGTGATGATGATGGTTGTGATGATGATGGTAATGATGATGATTGAGGTGGTGGTGGTGGTGATGGTAATGGTGATCGTGGTGATGACGATCATGATGATGATGATGATGATGATGATGGTGGTGATGGTGATGGTGATGGTGGTGGTGATGGTAGTGATGATGCTGATGGTGATCGTGATGATGATGTGATAACGATGCCGATGCTGGTGATGATGATGCTGATGATGATGATGCCGGTGCAAAGGATGGGGTTATTGTTATCACCGGCCGCGCTGAGAACTCACCTCCACTTCCCTCCTTCTCCTCATGGCAAGTGATGATATGCCATGACATGCTATGTGTTTCTCTATATCCAATGGATGGGGTTTTGGTTATGACTGTGACCGCGCAGAGCTTCAGTTCGCCTTCTCCTCCCTTCTCATCCTCCACCTAATGATTTACTAGGCTATGTCATGTTACGTCATGTTCGGTTATGGCATGTCATGTTTTGTTATGATATGATGATGATGGTGATTATTACGATGATGATCGTAGAGGTGATGATGATGCTGATGATGATGTTACTGCTGTTGCTGATGATGAGAAGTACGATGAGGATGAGGATGAGGATGAGGATGATAATGAGGATGAGGATGAGGATGAGGATGATACTGCTGCTGCTGCTGATGATGATGGTACTGATGATGATGATTATGATGATGATGACGATGGTGATGATGATGATGATGATGATGATGATGATGATGATGATGATGATGATGATGCTGCTGCTGCTGCTGCTGCTGCTGCTGCTGCTGATGATGATGATGATGATGATGATGATGATGATGATGATGATGATGATGATGATGATGATGATGATGATGATGGCGGAGCAAATTCAGAGGATGTCTCGAGCGGTTTGCTTGTTTCAGCACTCCTAGGGGGGGGCCGCCATGGGTATCTCACGGCCTCCGTTCGCGCCAAAATGGCGGAGATGTCTAGAGCGGTTTGCCTGTTTACCAGCTCAACATCCTCCGCTTTCGGAGCAGATTTGGAGGATGTCTCGAGCGAGGCGCTCATGTTCGCCCCCAAGGGGGGCCAGATGTTGAGGATGTCTCGACCGGTTTGCCTGTTTGGGGGGCTAGACTCCTGGGCACGGATTCTCCTCAGGATGCCACGGGAGGCTCCAGCAGGCTGCAGGAGGACACAGGAGGCCACAGGAGGTCCCGGGAAGCATCAGGAGGACACAGGAAGATCCAAGAGGCCACAGGATGTCCCAAGAGGCTCCAGGAGGCCCCAGGAAGCTCCAGGAGGCCTCAGGAGGCCACAGGAGGCCCCAGGAGGCCACAGGAAGCGCCAGGAGGCACCAGGAGGCCCCGGAAGGCAACAGGAGGCCCCGAGAGGCCCCAGAAGCAGGATGTCTCAGAAGGCCACAGGAGTGGCTCCAATCCCATGTGTTGTACGTATGCTCCTATATATATATATATATATATATATATATATATATATATGTGACAAAGCTTGCTGATTGATGATATGCAGAAGACCGAAGCACGCCGTCACCGACCCATAGTTTTTCCTAGCCCGAGCCCCTCCGCGGGGCGGAGGAGAAACGGGCCGGGGCGGCCCCTTGATGCTGGCTCATCTTGCACAGGCCGCCGTGTTGGGGGTGGCCAGCCTGGGCGGCGCGTGGCTGGGGAAATGCCAGCCCCCGCCGTGCCGGGCAGCACCTCCGTGCCCAGCGGCGGCGGCCTGCCAGTGCCCGCCGGCGCCAGCTCTCACTAGCTTGCCCGCAGGTGAGCGTCACCTGCCCGGCAGCGGCGGCTGCGGAGGCCTTCACCTGCCCGGCGGTGCCGCCAGCGCCGCCGTGTCCGCCGGCCCCCGCGTGCCTTCCGTGCGACGGGGCGAGCGCGAGTGCGCCTGAGGCGGAGAGCCGGCACGATTGCTGGCCCGAGACGCGTGTGGCGCTGAGCTTCGTGTGCGTGTTCGGCGGGCTGGCGGTCCTGGTCGGGTTCGTGCTGGGAACGTGCTGCGCGAGACGCCATGCAGCAGCCTCGACGCAATCCTCAGGGTACTCTTCACCTGGCCGGCCGCAGCTGCCTGGTGAACTACGGGGCCCCCGAGTGGCACTGGCGGATAGTGCTCGCAGGTCTGGTGTCCTCGGACTCCCGGGCCCTGATATTGACGCCGGATGGTGACATGTACATCGAGGACTTCAATGAGGCCGTTGCGGTGCGGTGGTTGGGGCCCAACAGTGAAGTCCCTGAAGGGAACCCCCGGCAGCTGATCTACCACTTCGGGGAGTTCCCGTCGGCGGCCACCCTCCGCCGGCTCATGCAGGAGGGCGCCTACACCGCCGGCCTGGAGGACCAGCGGCGCGGGTTCGGCGTGGCTGTCTGGGGCGCTGGGGGCGCCGCGGATGCTGCAGCTGGTGGTGCGGCCGCCGGCCCTGGCGGTGGCGCCGGCCGCGTGGCGGCGGGAGCTCCCGCCTTCGTGCCGGCGCAGCCGTCGGCGCTGGGGGCCCCCAGCGGCGGGGAGGACGATGGCCCAGGCCCGGGAGCCCTCCAGGGGCGGATGGGCGTGGGCCGGGACTTCAGGCCTCCCGCGCGGCCGACCGCGCAGCCGGTGTCCGTCCACACGGTCCGCTGGGTGGCCGCCGAGAGCGTCGAGTACCCTGGCGGGAGCGTGATCCGCGGCGACGACGTGGCCTTCAACGACTCCGAGCTCGTGGCGGGCCGCAGGGGGGTGATCGTGCTGATGGGCGAGTCCGCGCTGATCGAGGACATCGGCGACGGGGACGTCGAGGCCTACAGGTCGAAGGAGGCCCACCATGACGCGAGGCTGCTCAAGCTGCAGAGGGACTCGCGAGGTGCTCGGCACCGGCCATGGCGTGACGTGGCTCGCGACGTGAGTGCGGTGAAGCAGGACGACTGGCCGGTGCCGGGCCCCCAGACGGCGGAGTGGTGCACGCAGTTCCTCGACCAGTGGGGCGTGTCGGAGCACGAGACGCTGGCGAAGATCCTGGAGCGCCTCGGGACCCACGACCAGTGCGACGTCGTGAACTTGGCGAGCGCCGAGGACATCCTGAGGCGCACGCAGCTCATCGAGTACTTCTACTGCGAGGTCGGCCGGCAGGCGGAGACCGGCAAGCAGCAAGACAAGAAGGGCGGCAAGGGCGCCCGCGTGGAGGAGATGGCGATCTTCAGCGGGAAGCACCGCGAGTACGGAGAAGTGGTGGCCCCCGAGCTGTTGTCGTACGCGGCAACCGAGCTGGAGCGAGACTCTGGCATCATGAAGCAGATGAGGAAGGCCCGCGAGGAGAGGCGCCTCGCGGGCAACACATGACCAGTGAAGGGCGCCGCCGCGGGAGCCCCCGATCCCGCGGCGAGTATGCAGGGGGGTCGCCGGACATGAGCCCCGGCGTGACCAGTGTACGTGGCTCACATGAGGGAAGGGTCGTCAATCGTGATAGTGTTCCTCTTCCTCACCACCGCCTTCCGAGCCTGGACAGCGGCGAGTGTGGCCAGCCAAAGTCTCGTCGGGGCCAACGCCGCCGGGGAGAGCGAGCTCATTGCGAAGACTGGGCTCGCTGCTGCGCCGTCACGCTGAACGAGCTCGACCGAGGGCCCTCTGACCCGCAGCCGCTGGGCTTGCGGGCTAGTGCCGGGCAGGGGCGCAGCTTGGGGATGATCCAGACTGCGGTAGCCGAGCTCGGCCGCCCGCCCGCTGGCCTGACGCGCCAGGGAGCCCTAGCGGAGCTCCTGGCTAAGCGCAGCTTCACCGGAGAAAAGGTGTCTGTTGCTCGACTTGACATTTCCCTCTTGTCCTTGCCATCTGGCGGGGACGGTCCTCGAGTCTTGTCGACGCTGCTCGGGGATGAGGGTCCAATGGTAGTCGAAGCTTTTTTAAAAAGACAAAGTCTTGCCTCCATCGGAGGCGGCGGCGCGGGTGGCCGAGTCGGCCTTGAAGCGCCCGTGCTATGATCCTTCGCTGCAGGGCAGGCCGCGCAGGCACGCGCGCCTCCTGGCGGCCCTCGACGGCGCAGGCATTCTCGAGTGGAGGCGGCGCGGGTCGCCTCGAGTGGGCCTGTTCACTGCTTGGAAAAAGAATGGCAAGCAGAGGTTGATTGTTGATGCTCGTCTGTCTAATCTGTGCTTCGCTCAGCCTGACCCTGTGGACCTTGCCACTGGCGGATCGTCTGCTTCTCTCGAGGTCGACCCCGGACCCCCAGTGTGCCTGGCCCAGGTCGACATCCAGGATGCGTTTTATCATCTTCTCCTTCCCTCTGAGCTTGTGCCTCTCTTCTGCCTCCGACCCGTCACGGCTGGACTCGCTGGGGCGGGTGAGCTCGACGGTGCGCCTGTCCCACCATCCCAGCTGGTGTATCCTCATTTGCGCGTTGTGCCTATGGGGTGGAACCATGCGTTGTGGTGGTGCCAGCGAATTCACGAGTATCATGCCTTTCGGCAGCCCGGCGTGACCCTCGCTAACAAGCTTTCGGATAAGAAGCCGGGAATGCAGCTAGGACGCTCGGGGTTTGCTCACACCGAATACGTAGACAACTTTGCTGCCATCGGCCGTCGGGCCGAAGAGGTCGACGCCGTGGCTGATCCCGTTCACAAGGCAATTATACCGCCGCGGGGCTCAGGATGCACCCTCGTGAGAGCTCGACTGGCGGCTCCGCCTTGGGTTGGGACTTTAGTGAAGAGTGCCCCCTGGTTCGCGCGAGCCCTCGCAGAGTGTGGAGGCTCCGTCTTGGCGTCGAAGGTCTCTTGGAGAGGGGCTTTGCTGCTGGCAGGGGCCTCGAGGCCATCCTAGGACATTTCGCGTTCGCCGCTCGCATTCGACCAGAGGCCCTCTGCGTGCTTTCAGCGGCGTACGCGTTCGCTCAGCGGGGGGCCGAAACCCGTCGTAAGTTGTGGACCGCCGTGCGGAGGGGGCTTCGCTGGGCAATAGGGCCCCCCCCCCTCCTCCGTCGTCGCCTCGATGCCGAGTGGAGCCCAAAGGTGCGGTGTACAGACGCTTCCCCCTGGGGGCGAGGTGGGTGCGTGGCGGAGCGCGATCTCCTGCCCGTCGCGGAGGCTGGCCGGTGGTCGGACCGGTGGCGCTTCTCGCGGGGGGCTGAGGATCGGGTTCGGCCGAGGGGCGCCTCGCTCCGGGAGGAGCTCAACATGGCCGCGGCGGCCGGCCTGGATGACCTGGACCGCGTCGGGGCGGCCCGGCACCTGGGCGCCCTCGGCGAGGTTGACCGGGGCGGGGCTGTCCCGGAGATCGGGCCTCAGATCCTCCAGGGCTCCTGGACCACCGTCTCGGCCGGCCGCTGGAAGCGCCGGGAGGCGATGCCCATCTTGGAGGGCCGCGCTCTGGTCTGGGGAGTCCGCCACGTCGGCCGAGGTTTAAGCGAGTTTGGCAAGCGAGTCCTGTTTTTGACCGATGGGCTGTCCGAGGTCCTGGCCCTCGAGAAGGGCCGATCGTCGAGTGTAGCCTTAATGAGAGTGTGCAGGCAGTGGGCGGCGACGGTATTTGCGGCCGACTTGTATCCTCGTGTTCGGTGGATTCGGTCTGAGTTGAACGTGGCCGATGAGCCCTCTCGACGCTGCCAGCCGAAGCCATTTGGGCTCAAACAGGCAGGCTTTCGGCCTCCGCCAGGACTGGCAGAGCCAGATGTCGACGGGGCTTCCTCGCCCGCGCAGTGGTGTCCCGAACCTGGAGGCCCCTCGAGACTCGCCCCCCCCGTCGGGCAGCCTGGTCCGACCGGGTGGCGCGGCGAAGCGGCGGGCGAGCCCGGCCGCGCTGCCGACCCTAGCGCGGGCTGCGCCACCGCCGCCGGCGCCGCGCGTGCGCCCTGGGGGCCGGGCCCGGGCGGCGGCGGCGACCCGGCGGGTCAAGCCGCGGCCGGAGGTGCAGGCCACCTGGGCGGAGCGTGCCGCCGCGCCGCAGGGGGGGTTCCCCGAGGACAAGCGCACGACGGACGGCGAGGGCCTCACGTTGCTGGAAAGGGAGAGCGTGGGAGACCACAACCAGCGGGTCTACCAGTCCGCCCTCGCCGAGTTCAGGAGCTTCTTCGTGACCTTGGGCCTCCGCCTCAGGACCGCCGCAGACTACGACGAGGCGGCCCTGGAGTGGGCCCACCAGACGTTCTTCGACGGCGGCGACGCGCAGGAGGGGACCAAGCTGAAGGCGGTGCTGCAGTATTACCCCCCGCGGCTGCTGGCCACAGTCGGGCTGCCCAGGTTCGCCCGCGCTCTGAAGGGGTGAAGGCGGCTGGTCCCGCCCCGCAGCCGGCCCCCGCCCCCGTGGGAGGTCACGTGCGCGGCGGCAAACAAGCTGGCAGCCAGCCAGGACCTGCACGCCGCGCGCCTCATCATCGTGATGTTCGTCTTCTACCCTCGGCCCGTGGAGCTGATGTCGCTGACCGGGCGGCAGGTGGTGCCGCCAGTGCGGGCGGCCGGGCACAACGCCTGGTCGATCGTGCTGTTCCCAATGGAGGAGGAGACGCCCAGCAAGACCGGCGCGTGCAACGAGAGCCTCCTGGGCAACCTGCCGTTCTACAACTTCATCGGGGACGTGCTGAAGCTGCTCGAGGCCGGCGTGGGCGACAAGGAGCTGGCGGCGCAGGTGCGATACGCGCAGCTGGCGCAGGCGTTCCGAGCGGCGGGCCAACAGCTGGGGCTCGAGGGCCCGCCCGGCCTGCACCAGCTGCGGCACGGCGGGGCGTCCGCCGACCTCGCCATCGGCCGCCGCAGCATCCCAGAAGGCTCGCGGCCGCTGGGCGAGCGACAGCTCGGTGACGAAGTACGGCAAGGGCGGCCGCGTCGCCGACCAGCTGGCCAAGCTGCCGGAGCTTTTCCTCGAGCACGCCATCGCCTGCGCCAAGAAGATTGGCGGCATCCTCTGCGGACGCTGCCAACCTTTGCCGCCCGTGCGGGCGGCGCCGTAGCGCTCGAGGTGTTCAGCGGCTCCGGCAACCTCAGCCAAGCCTGGCGGCGGCGGCAGCGTGCCCTGGGGCATGCCATCTTTGATTGGGACCTCCGCTGGGGCGACGAGTATGACCTGACCCGCCAGCGTGCTCAGCGCCTGGTGCGAGGATGGGTCAACAACGGGCTGATCGCCGCCGCGTGGCTGGGGGCCCCCTGCCACAGCTGGAGCCGCGCGCGGGACATCCGACCCGGGCCACCGCCCCTTCGGAGTGATGTTCACGCGATGGGCTTGCCCGACCTGGCGCCCCGTGACGCCGAGAAGGTTAGGGTCGGCAAAGCCTTAATGCAGTTTTCGGCATCGCTTTTCACCCTGTGCCAGGCCGTGCGAGTGCCAGTCGCTATCGAGAATCCTCATCTGTCTAGAATATGGCTGACGCCACAGTTCAGCAGTCTGCTGAAATAATGCCGCACTGTCGTGCTGGATGTTTGCCAATTCGGCCAGTCGTGTCGGAAGCGGACTCGTATCGTGTACGATCATGTTGACCTGCAGCCTCTGGGTCGTCTTTGTTGCGGCCCCCGTGGGATCTGCTCCTGCACAGGTCGGCCACATGACCAGCTTCAAGGGAAGAACCCTGCTGGCATTTTCCTCACGCTCCTTGCCGAGGCTTACCCAGCCGACCTGTGTGCCAGCATCGTTCGTTGCTTCCAGCTTGCACTTGCCGAGAGACAAGTACAGAGAGTCAACAAATTCTGGCGCGGCTGATGCCAGTTGCGTTTTTGGAGAGAAGTTCCGTTCTATGCAAAAGTGCTGGAGTGTGCTTCGCGTCTTGAGTTGGGTGTCGTCCCGAGCTCGAGACCCTTCTGTGCTGTGATTGCAAAGTCGGGGGACTTGTCGACACCAGAGATAGCATCGCTTCGCATGCCTGGCGGAAAATAGGCGTGGGCGTTTCATTTGACAAAGCTTGCTGATTAATAATATGCAGAAGACCGAAACACGCCGTCACCGATCCATAGTTTTTCCTGGCCAACCGTCTGCCCCACCGCCGCCCTCTCCTTTTAAATATTACAGGAACGAAACTGGAGTTTGCTTCGCGTCTTGAGTTGGGTGTCGTCCCGAGCTCGAGACCCCTTTGTATTGTGATTGCAAATATCGGGAGTCTTGTCGACACCAGAGATAGCATCGCTTCGC